CTAGTAAGAGACCAAATGGTAGCTGGTCCTAGTCTATTAGTTTAAAGCCCATGTATTTTACCTGAGCATTACACAGGTCAAATGATCCAAACTACCCAGAGAAAATGCCATCCAAGAGTTCACACTACATTTTACACTGGCAAAGTGAAGGAAAGAACAAACTAGAGCTAGAGCCAGCTTGACTTTTCCATTGGAGCTGGAATGTCCCCTGGTTCAGACCTCAGACCCCTCCTTGACTACTTTCATTCCTTCATAGCATTAGGTCTCACCTATAAGCCTGGGACCCCCATAAAGATAGTTCTGCCTTTAATTCTCACCTGCTCCTGCTTGATGATCATCTTCCTGTCAGTGCCTAACAACCTTTTCAAACTTCACACATCCAAAACTGACCAACTATTCTCTCTCCCCAAGTCTACTACAGCCAAGATGATGCACCTCTGTCTTCCCAGAATCCCTGGCCAAAAATATCCAGTCATTTATACTTGCCTTCTCTTTTTCTCTTATACTGTTTCTTTCACAATCGTTTTACAAAAAAACACAGTCTACAAACATATGTCACATATAATTCTTTAAAGTGGCTAGTTCAATCAGTACACTAATATATCTGACTTGTATGTAACTCATCATGAGTACCTTTACTGAAGGAATCATGAGCTTCCTCTATAATGGGCACTGCAACCTACACACAGTGATGTCACCCACCACTTTACTTTTATGTGCTATTTGGTAAAAACTTATGCAACCTTTCCTTTCTCCAGGACATTGATTTCAAAGTGCTTTATAACTCACTGAATTAAATAACTCATGCAATCTTCATAACAAGTCTAGGAAGTAGGTTCTATTATTATCCCCTTCCCAAAGATAAAGAAACTGAGGCAAAAGGAGGTAAATAACTTATCAGAGGCCTCACGATTCAAACTTGGACAGTCTGCCTCCAAACCCTTTACTATTTCACCTTGTTCCACCCACTGGACATACTGTTTTCCCTCGTAAATTTTCTTTCCATAAGGTAGAGACATATATGCACAAATCAACTAGCATGTTATCTGGCTTTCTTATGTCCAAGACCCACCTCTACAAAGTGCCCAGCCTGATGGGGTGCACATTTTCTACCCTCTTCATAGAAATGACAAGGGTTCAGAGTCTCTGGTCCCATAAACACTGTGCTATGACCAGCTAAGTTACCCAGACCAATGAATGACATGTGACAGCAAACAACTGAATCTTTGGAACTGTATCACCAAAGCCCTCTCAAGGACCAGGAACTTAAACCCAACCAACAGTACAGCATGTGAGCTCTGGGGCCCTGAGTGTGATGGATGGCACAGTTGAAGGAGTCGGCAGGTCCAGGGCTGCTGTAGCCAGCACCACCCACCTATGCCATTTAGGTTGATGAGTGAGTGACTGAAGAGATATGCTGTGTTTACTGAAATAGATACCACTTCTCAACCAGCCCTTCCTTATAGGTTGCTTTATAATAAAAACACTAAGGAAGAGGAGATAGGGAAGAGAAGAGAAAGAAGTGTGCTTCAATTACCCTGCTAATAGTGTGAACCGACTGCAAACATAAGGGTAGGTTCCTTCACAGTGGGATCTCTAAGGTGTGGAAAGAGTGGGCAGATAGCCCCTGTTGACTCTTTAGAGTACTTTTCCTTTTGTTTCCAGACACCATAAAAACTAAGAGCTTAGCTTCCAGAGCTCAGAGGTTAAAGAGGTGGAGTCAAAGCCCAGCTCCACTCCAAACTCTTGACAAATTATTTAACCCAGACTCTGTCTCATCTGCAAAATGAGATCCTACTTCCCTGACCTAACACCATTGGGGTGCAAATAAGGTGAGGTAATGTGGTACAGAGGACCTGGCACCTAGAAAAACCCGATAAATGCCAGTTACTGATAATGATTTTGATCATTTCAATAATACAAGTGTTTTCACACACTTCAACTGTTCAAAGTCTGATGTGAAGGAAAGCGTAGAGACAAGGAGTAACCCAGAGAAAATTTTATGTTTGGTAAGGGTAGAGAAACACAAATAAGCTGTAGTTTTGACAGCTCTTTGTTCACACAATAGTTAGCATTCAAACGATGTATAACCTAATCCACTGTTTATAGATTACTCTGACCATATCCACTTAATCATGGCATTATAATTTTTCTCACCTAAAAGCTTAAGTTAAGAAAGACCGACAAATATACTCAGTTTCTAAAGCAAGTGGTGAAATAAAATCTGTTTCCATTTACAACACCTTACTTTTCTTTTTTTTTAAATGCAATTAGCTACCTTCAAAAGGCAACCAATAGAGAGATTCTATCAAGCTGGTAAGGTCTGGTGTTTCACTTCAAAGTTCAGGTAGACTGAAAGCAAGTGACAGACCTGCTATGCCAGTTGGTACTTGGTATGAAAAATACTGAAAGCCATTTCATTCAGATGATGTGTTTGCACAGACCCATTGCACTAAAATGGTACCTCCTTTTTAATGAAAGCCAGGGCTAATCCTGGAAGAGAAGGGTGTAATTATCTCGGTCTCAATTTAAAATTAATGAGGAGCTTTTGAGGTTACATCTCCATGGAGTATAATGCTAGCTGAAGAGAGCTGAAGTAGATGACAGACTCTTAGTTCCTAATATCAGCATTCTTATGGACATCTGTGAAGCAACTTAAACTAGATACCACCAAATGTCAGGAGTGGTGGCATCAGTTACATGGAATTGCCAGGGGATTCCTGTGTGACTTTAAACAAGTCACTTGACCTTTGAGGTCATTTTAGAAGCAGAGAGAGACTGATCACCTGCCAGATGACAGTTTATGGTAGGGTTAGGTTTTATTTATAAAGAGGTTTGTCATCCTTAGCTCCACAGTGCTATCCTATTATTAAAATGAATAAGTTAAGAAGGTCAAATCAGAGTCCAGTGTTACTCATCTACTCATGAATAATCTGCCTTTGTGAAGAGGTTATATAAGCTGTCATATGCAAGAATATTCAGAGTAGATGGTTAAATAGCAACTAAGACAGGAAGACTTTAAGAAGTCTTCTAGCTCAGACTTCCCTTCTCCTTTCCTACTTAACTTTTCCACTCCAGATACAACATCTAGTCAGTGAACCTGAAACAGTTCACTGACTAGAGCCACAGTTCATGTAGGTCCTTTCCCTACAAAACCTGTGCTTCCACCTCATGAAATTCTACTTCTAGATCCAGCCCCAAGCAAATGCTCTTTCATGTACCTTCCCAGCCAGATACAACCTCAGAATGACTCTGAATTAAGTGTGAGGTGTACTCTTTGATTATTTGCCTCCTGGTAGTCTCATTATTGCTTAACTAATATTGATTTTGTATAAATATAACATACTTTCTCACTCAGAATACAGGCTATGTCAGAAGACTGAACACTAAACTTCTTGAAATTCCTTGTAACTTCTTCCTCAGAGTCTTGAACCCAGAAGATAGTCAATACCATTCCCAGGAGCCACCTCCCAAAGGTTTTACTGGGCAAAGCAGCTTCTTATCTCTCACTGGGACTAAAGATCACAGAAGCACTGACCACTATTTGCTGGTCAGTGAGGACATCACTGGTGACAAGTCCACGTTAGCATGGGGCCAGGTGGTGTACACAATGAATGAAAACTTTAAAGCACTGTTAGTTTTCAATCCTGCTGTTCTATTATCTAGCTATAGAATTTTGGCCAGCTGTTTTTAAATCTTAGTTGTTGCATTTAAGAAAGATAAGAATAATACTGCAAACCTGTCTCCTGAAATAGCCTGAAGTGTACATTTATATATATTTGTATATATTGGATATATATAGATACGTCCATAAAGAGAGGATATTTAGTGATTTGATACTGACATTTCTTCTTTTTTTGTGTATGTGGTGCTGGGGATTGAACTCAAGACCTACACCTTGAGCCATTCTACCAGCTCTTTTTTTGTGATGGGTTTTTTCGAGATAAGGTCTCACAAACTATTTGCCCAGGCTTGCTTCAAACCGCAATCTTCCTGATCTCTGAGTAGTTAGGACTACAGGCGTGAGCCACTGGTGCCTGGCCTGACATTTCTTAAGTATCAAATCACTAGGTAATTCTACCCAATGGGGATTGTAACATTTTCTAGTGTACAAGCTTAGCATTTTAAATCCTACTTAGTTTCTCTTGTGGCTCTTCCTCTTTTTTGAGTCTAGGGTTTGATGCATCTTTTGAAACTTTAGGCCAAGTTTCCTGGAAATCTGTGATTGAGGGAACTGCTTTAGTCCCTTGTAGTGTTGACCAAGGGAGAGTAGTACTGTGGCCAGCCTGCAAGAGGAGAGGAAATAGCTGACTTTTCAGAATTCTAACCTCCTGGACAAAGGTTATGGTTCTAAGCTTTCTCATCTAAATACCCAGAGTCCTGAGAAATTCTCCTATTTCAAAAAACACACTTGCAAAAGGTGATTTATCTGCCAAATCTCAACTATAATAAGGCCTTTCAAATGTCACTCATTTCAGTATTTAGCTGGGGCCCACCAGATTTCTTATTTTATATAAAATTAATATTTATAGTTTCTAGAATTTTCTATCTACACCTCATTGGATTGTTTTATACTCATCTCACCTTGAAGCAAATAATCTTACCTGTGAACTGACACTCAAAACGTTAATCCTGGAAGTATTTCATGCTGGGTGCACACACCACCCAGCGTGGGTGGATTCTAGGGTACAGTTCATACTTTTGCCATGTCCATGACTAAGAAAAATACAGTCCAAAAGAAAACAAATCTTTTTTTGTATTTTATCTGTGTCATGTACAACTCAACATGTTTTCTCCTTAACTCCCATTTTTTGAAGCTCTGTCATTGCAAGAGTGATGAGTCAGAGTTAAGGGAATTGTTGTGACTTGCTCCACCTATTAGAACAAGCCAAGTGATCTTGGGTTGGTTGATCTTGGGTTCTCAGGGGGGTATTTATCTAGGGGGGATGGACTGCAATTTGTATGACCACATGGTACAGATGTGTATTCATGAAGCTTACCTCAAGTGAGACAAGAAATTTCTTGGTCTGACTATATTATAATTCAGCCAAGTGTACACCCAGTGGGCAAGCTCAGCTCCAGAAGAAATTAAGACTGGAATGACAAGAAGGATGAGAGATAGGATTAGAATATGTGGATAGGACTGAGTGAGAAGTCTGGAGCCAGACTAAAGGGTGTGTGCTCAATGACAGGATAGGGAGACTGGACAGAATTACAAAGAGAGGGCACAAAGATATACTGTATGCTTCTTGTTTCTCTGAATCTGAGCTTTTTTTTCCTTTCATTTCCTCACTGTAAGAATTGTATCTGCAATTTAATATAAACCTGCAGACTCAGTCATTCTTATAGACCCCCCTGCCAGCCTTCAGCAAACTGCTGCCTAGAAACTTCCAGCCTATTTCCTGTTTCCATGGGGTCAGTCCTTCCTTCAGATCGTTCCCTCCACCATCTTTAGTTTAGTGGTTTTCTTTCTTTCTTTTTTTTTTTTTTAATATATGACAAAGCATATATGGAATGGAATTCTTTTTTTATTATTATTATTGTTGTACTGGGAGTACATTATGACATTTATAAAAGTTCTTACAACGTATCAGAGTTGAATTCACCCCCTCCATCATTCTTCGTTATTCCCCTCTCCCCATTCCTAATAGAGTTTTATTCAGCCATAAAGAAGAGTGAAATTTTGTCATTTGCAGGTAAGTGGATGAAATTGGAGAACATGACCTTAAGTGAAGTTAGCAAGGTTCAGAAAGCCAAAGGCTGCATGTTTTCTCTCTTATGTGGAATATAGACCCTATACGAATACAAGCAGCATTATGAAAAACAGGTCACACTAAGGGTAGGTAAGTTTGGTGGTTTTCAAAGTGTGGTCTCTGGACCAGCAGTATCTGCAACACCTGAGAAATGCCAATTCTCAGGCTCCACCCAGACCCACTGATTCAGAAACTCCGAGGTGGGGCTGGGAACAGTAATCCACTTTCTCAAGTCCTCAAGGCAATTTTGATGCAAACTAAAGTTTGAGAATGTGTGCTTTAGATAATAGTATAAGATAATAATTTCAACGCAAGAAAACACATTTTAGGAGAGGATTTCTGAAAAACAACACTCAATCATCAAATGATTAATTTTCTAGTAGTGGAATTTCGAGTCACATGAAAGACAATCAGAAACTTAAGGCCCCTGTATCGGCTCAGGCTATCACCATCTCTTGCCTTTAATCTTACCTCCTTCAGTCTTCTCTCCACATTGCTATTAGAGATGTATGCTCAGCCTGAAAATCTGACTCTGTCAAAACCCCCCTTAAAATCCTTCAGTGACTGCGCCCTGCACATAGGATAAAGTCCCAAGCACTTGGCACACAACTCAAGGTCCTTCATTATCTGCCCTTGGCCATTTCCCTGACCGGGTTTCCTTCTGTACCTTCCCACCTACTCTCTATGTGCAGGAAGCTTACATTTCCCCACATCTCTGACACCAGGGTTGACCATGTGATTGACCTTGACCAACAGCGCGAAAGGTGAAGAGACAGCAGGCACTTCTCAGCAGACTTCTAAGTATCACAATTTTGTTCTATCGTGTTCTGTCTTTCCATAAATGTGATCAGCACTGTCCTAGAGAGAGACTATATTTTGTGTTGTTTTGTTTTTAAGAGTGGGACCCTAGATGAAATGCCAAACTACAACGGAACTACCTGGACATGCAGTATCAATGGGAAAGACACCTGTGTTGTTATAAACCACTGAGTTTTGGGGGTTGTTATTTAGCCTAAGATGACAGAAGACTTGGAATGCCTTCTCCCCTCTTTCTTACCCTTCTGTCCAATCGCACCTCACCCCTAGATGCATGAGAGACCTGCTCATCCTTCTACACTCAGCTCAAGCATTATTCCTCAATCAAGCCTTTAACCTTCCCAAATTAAACCAGTCACTCTCACCTGTAGGACCTCTTCTAGATGCTATGTCCCTGGTCTGTGCCAGGGGCTTTCTATTTATTGACACTAGTTTTAAAGTCATGTTTTCTTGCTATTATATAAAGTAATAGTAATAGCGAGTATGAGTCTTCATTTTTACAGTGCAAGAAATTTTGGCTCAGAGAAGAGAAGCAGCTTGCCCAAGTATCCCATGCTCTCACCAGGTGAGAATCTGGCTCTGGACTCAGCAGTCTACCCTGTGTCACTTGCCTCTGTCCCTCCCTAGCAGCAAGCTTTCAGATCCCCCCACTCCACAGGAGGGGAAAAGTTTCATCAACAACTGAAAGGACTGCCACAGCACAGTAATTTCATGCTTGCAAGATTTGCCACTGGAAATATGCTTCTGACACCCTGAGAAGATGGTCACTTTCTCTAAGTGGGTGTATTTATTCTAAGGCACCTAGCAATGCTAGGAGATCTGAGACAATTTGCCCTTTTCCCACTGCAGGGGTAAAGTGGTGTGATATGACAAGCAGATTCCCATGGACATTGCCCTAGAGAACCTTAGAGAAGGTCCTTCTGGGTTTATTGCAGGGTTCAAGGCAAGTAACAGAGGGTTCAGGACCCCAAGCAAGTCTGCTACATGTTAATATTTTAGGTTTTAAAAAAAAGTAAATAGGATCTTCGATTCTTCAGATTAAACAAGGAAAGGAAAATGACACAGTGGCAAAGGACTGATCTGGACACCCAGGTCAGACTTGGATCGACTGCCTGAAAGTAGCAAACACAATTTTAGGTTTCTATGAGCTGCTGGCATTTTGTTGTGTAGTTGAGTTTTTTCTTTGTCTCTCTTTTTAACTTTGCTTGCTTGTTTAAAGGAAAAGTAGAAAGTATAAAAACCTAAAAACATTCTACCACCATTCCCAGTCAGCCATACTAATGAAAAACGAGCAGTGAATAAGGTACCATGATATTCTTTTCACGTATAACATTCATACTAATTTTGCAAGGGTTACAATGCTTTGATTCCTAGTTGGAATCCATTTATCTCTCTCATCCTTCAAATGGAGCAGGTTTTTTTTTTTTTATCCTCCCTCAAAGGTATCCTTTAAATGATACCATCAGTAACATTAATAGCATTTTTTCCCCTTCAAGTGTAGAAAGCCGTTCAGAGGTCCAACTGGTTGTTGGGCCAGTTTGGACACGTCTGATTTACTCTTTAAGCGATCATCCACTTCATATAATAGATAATAAGAGCCAACATTTATTGAGTACTTGGCGCTATGTTGAATGTTTTTCAGACACTGGTTCATAGAATCCTCAAAATACCACGTGTAAATTATTACCACTTTTAGATTAGTAGAGTGAGACCTAGAGAGCATGAAAATGAAGGAGGGAGAGAAAGAGGAAAGCGAGAAGGAAAGTGAGCAAGCAGGTAGGAACCAGAAGCTGCACAAGACCATAGTTAATCATTCACTCGCAGCCCTCAGGCAGCTCTTTTCAGTGGGGGCTGCACCAGAAACACACACACACACACACGAGAGAGAGAGAGAGAGAGAGAGAGAGAGAGAGAGAGAGAGACCGACTCCCCCCGCTCATCTACAACTCTTCATCCCAGCGAGAGGCTGCATTCAGCAAATTGCTTGGCAACGCGCGCAGGAAACTCCATCCAAAGCCCAGGGTCCAGGAGGCCTCTGGGCGCTGTCCAGCGGGCAGCGAGCCTGAGAGGCCAGGCTGGGGTCCTTTCTCACTCAGGACATCCCGAAGGTGGGGCGGAACGCCAACACCGGGATTTTCAGCGTGGGGGTGGAGAAGAAGCACTGTCCCCAGGGACACCTGTTGTCGCTTCCCCACTCAAGCTAATGAAGACGGCGTGGACGCCCTCGATCTCAGGGAAGGGCACCCCCGTGTATGGACACGGGGGGCGCAGGTGTCATCCCCCTCCCTCTCCAGGACGCCCGCGGCTTGTGGAAACGTCGCGCCTCCCCACGACTCGGGCGGGGACACTCTTGGGAGGCGTGTAGCAGCGCCGCGGCGCTAGGACCTCGCGGCCGACCCGCCCCCCGCCGCTCCACCTGCGGGGCCCCTCTCTCGGTGAGCGTCGCCCCCTGCCGCGGGGCATGGGCACAAGTACCTGCGGCGCGGTCCGCACGGTCCCGAGCATCGGTCGGAAGTCTCCGCAGCACAGCCGGGTAGTGTGGCCCGGGGATCCGGCCCACGAGCTGCCCTGGCCGCCGCGCTCCCTCCTGGCCGCAGCAGCGCCTCTGGAGTCTGTCCGCTCCTGACGGCCGGCTCGCTGAGTGCCCGCGGGCAACCAGCGCCGCTCCCGCCGCTCCTGATTGGCTGAAGCGCGCGCCCAAGCCGCACCCTGATTGGGTAGCCGAGGAGCAGGGCGGAGGAATAGGCGGGGCGCCGCCTGGTCTAGTCTTCCAGCCGTGAGCGCCGCAGCCTCGCTTCCCCACCGCACCCGGAGGCCCAGATCCCGACCGTGAATCTGGAATCCTGTCCCTTTACGTGGAACGGGATCCGTCGTGCCTGCACCCGAAGGGCAGGAAAGTGTCGTTTCCAATAAAACATGAGTGGTGAGGAGTGGTGGTCACCTTGGAGTCTCAGCTACACCCCCTGGGGGCTGGCGACAGGGGACCTTCCGAGATGCTATTTGCTCCTCTGTCCTCATTCCTATATGACGGTTTGATTTCATGTTTACTTTTGATACTTACTTTTCACTCTGCATAGTGTGCAGGACACAGAAGAGAAACTTGTAAACAGTAGGTGCCAAATAGTGTTTGTGGTCTCGGATTGAATTCCACACACAATCTCTACGTGTTCCTACCAGGACTAGCGAAAGAGAAGCGACTTGTCCAAGGTCCTATTCACATCAACAAATTATTTTAAGAACGCAGTGATGGGTGCTGTGGGGAGAAAAAGAGCAAGATGGCGAGATCTTCATTTATAAGATTAATAATAATCACCCTAAAATTTTCATGATGCATATTTCCTGGTAGGCACTTTTCCAAGTAATTTATATGTAGTAACTCAGAAATATAAGAAAAGGCTATCATAAAGACGTCCATTGGTGCTGTGAGTGACGTGGACAAGTGACACAAGTTCTAAATACAGAGAAATTTTCATCTGAAAGACACACCACACCAGCAATATTTCACAGAGTTGGGAGAGGAACAAAGTAGAACAGAGATAGTTACTCCCATCTTCTGGAATTCCTAGCCAGAGCAATTAGGCAAGAAGAAGGAATAAAAGGAATACAAATAGGTAAAGAAACTGTCAAAATATCCCTATTTGCAGACGACATGATCCTATACCTTAAAGACCCAAAAAACTCTACTCAGAAGCTTCTAGACATCATCAATAGCTATAGCAAGGTAGCAGGATATAAAATCAACATAGAAAAATCATTAGCATTTCTATACACTAACAATGAGCAAACGGAAAAAGAATGTATGAAAACAATTCCATTTACAATAGCCTCAAAAAAAATCAAATACCTAGGTGTAAACCTAACAAAAGATGTGAAAGACCTCTACAAGGAAAACTATACACTTCTGAAGAAAGAGATTGAGGAAGACTATAGAAAGTGGAGAGATCTCCCATGCTCATGGATTGGTAGAATCAACATAGTAAAAATGTCTATACTCCCAAAAGTAATCTACATGTTTAATGCAATTCCCATCAAAATTCCAATGACATTCATCAAAGAGATTGAAAAATCTACTGTTAAATTTATATGGAAACACAAGAGGCCACGAATAGCCAAGGCAATACTCAGTCAAAAGAACAATGCAGGAGGTATCACAATACCTGACTTCAAACTATATTACAAAGCAATAATAATAAAAACAGCATGGTACTGGCACAAAAACAGACATGAAGACCAGTGGAACAGAATAGAGGATCCAGATATGAAGCCACACAACTATAAGCAACTTATCTTTGACAAAGGAGCTAAAAATATACGATGGAGAAATAGCAGCCTCTTCAACAAAAACTGCTGGGAAAACTGGTTAGCAGTCTGCAAAAAACTGAAACTAGATCCATGTATATCACCCTATACCAAGATTAACTCAAAATGGATCAAGGATCTTAATATCAGACCCAAACTCTTAAGTTGATACAAGAAAGAGTAGGAAATACTCTGGAGTTAGTAGGTATAGGTAAGAACTTTCTCAATGAAACCCCAGCAGCACAGCAACTAAGAGATAGCATAGATAAATGGGACCTCATAAAACTAAAAAGCTTCTGTTCATCAAAAGAAATGGTCTCTAAACTGAAGAGAACACCCACAGAGTGGGAGAAAATATTTGCCAATTATACATCAGACAAAGGACTGATAACCAGAATATACAGGGAACTTAAAAAACTAAATTCTCCCAAAACTAATGAACCAATAAAGAAATGGGCATGTGAACTAAACAGAACTTTCTCAAAAGAAGAAATTCAAATGGCCAGAAAACACATGAAAAAATGCTCACCATCTCTAGCAATAAAGGAAATGCAAATTAAAACCACACTAAGATTCCACCTCACCCCTGTTAGAATAGCCATCATCAGCAACACCACCAACAACAGGTGTTGGCGAGGATGCGGGGAAAAAGGAACCCTCTTACACTGTTGGTGGGAATGTAGACTAGTACAACCACTCTGGAAAAAAATTTGGAGGCTACTTAAAAAGCTGGACATCGATCTACCATTTGATCCAGCAATACCACTCTTGGGGATATACCCAAAAGACTGTTACTCCAGAGGCACCTGCACATCCATGTTTATTGCGGCACTATTCACAATAGCCAAGTTATGGAAACAGCCAAGATGCCCCAGCACTGACGAATGGATTAAGAAAATGTGGTATCTATACACAATGGAATTTTATGCAGCCATGAAGAAGAACGAAATGTTATCATTCGCTGGTAAATGGATGGAATTGGAGAACATCATTCTGAGTGAGGTTAGCCTGGCTCAAAAGACCAAAAATCGTATGTTCTCCCTCATATGTGGACATTAGATCAAGGGCAAACACAACAAGGGGATTGGACTATGAGCACATGATAAAAGCGAGAGCACACAAGGGAGGGGTGAGGATAGGTAAGACACCTAAAAAACTAGCTAGCATTTGTTGCCCTTAATGCAGAGAAACTAAAGCAGATACCTTAAAGCAACTGAGGCCAATAGGAAAAGGGGACCAGGAACTAGAGAAAAGGTTAGATTAAAAAGAATTAACCTAGAAGGTAACACCCACGCACAGGAAATCAATGTGAGTCAATGCCCTGTATAGCTATCCTTATCTCAACCAGCAAAACCCCTTGTTCCTTCCTATTATTGCTTCTACTCTCTCTACAACAAAATTAGAGATAAGGGCAAAATAGTTTCTGCTGGGTATTGAGGGGGGGAGCGGGAGGGGGTGGAGTGGGTGGTAAGGGAGGGGGTGGGGGCAGGGGGGAGAAATAAACCAAGCCTTGTATGCACATATGAATAATAAAAGAAAAATGAAAAAAAAAATAAAGAAAATTGTTAAAGAGTTAAAAAAAAAAAAAGACACACCACACCAGCAATATTTCACAGAGTTGGGAGAGGAACAAAGTAGAACAGAGATAGTTACTCCCATCTTCCATAACTTGTCCATAGTTCTTTACCCTCCCCCACCCAACATTCCACCTACCTGCACTGAATTTCTAAAAAATAAAACCAAGTGCTACAAATATAGGTGTCACCAGACCTTCTGTTCTGTCACTCTTAAAGGCACCCACTCTGCACATCCAGGTAGTTGATAAGTAAAAATAAATAACTCAACACATATAACCATTTTTCTTCAAGCATTTTCCCTGCTACTAGTCACCTATGCTGACAGAACCTTTGATGAGTGAGAAATTAGACTTGGGAGACAAGTACTTAAAGACCCAAGTGAAAATCAGCTAGAGTAGTCTTGGTTCATTTTCTAGGATAAACTTCAAGGCATGTATTTGAGAAGTCCAAGACCTAAAAAGGGAATTAGTTCCATTTTGTCTAGTTTATATTAGTGGGAAAACAATGGATTCCCTTTATATTCAAAAGATGGACTGAACAGGCATGAGTTGGAACACCAGAGCATAACAGGGTGGAGACCATGTGAGGAAAGTTCTTTCAGGCACATCCCTATCCAAGCATCAGAAGCACACAGAGACATCAGCTCATAATTCTGGTTGCTCACTTTTCATATCTGTGGTTTTTGTCAAAGCAGAAGTTCCATTTGAGTTAGTCATATGTTCAATCCAAAGAAGAAAGACTTGTTTCAGCCAGAGAACAGGCTGATTCAAGATGATGTGTCAGGCTTCTCAATCCTAGTTGTATCCCACTAAACTCAGCCCTGGAAAGACAAGTGAAGGAAGGATAATAAGGGAAAGAAGAAACTGGATCCCATGACAAATACCATGGAGTATTCTTGTGTGCAGGAACTGCCTATACATAGTTCTATCTAAAACGCTTCACTTCATTCTGCCTTCTGCACCACATTTCTTCTTAGGTGATTCTTACTTACCATTCAAGACCCAACTAAAATGTCCCTTTCTCTGCAAAGCCTTCACTAACTCTCCCATGTACAAAGCAATAGCATTCTAGTGATCTATTTACACGATCTTTTCACAAGAGGACTGTGCATTAATTAATAATGTATCTTTGGGAGTGGGATAAAGGAGAATGATGGAGGGAGTGAATTCAACTATGACATATTTGCTATATTGTAAGAACTTTTGCAAATGCCACAATGTACCCCCACCCAGCACAACAATAAAAAAAAAGTATCTTCCCACCAGATGTAAGGGTACATGCCAGTAATCCCAGAAACTTGGGAGGTGGAGTCAGGAATATTGTGGGACCAGTCCAGAAAAAATCCAGAGACCCTATCTGAAAAACAAACTAAAAGCAAGAATTACTGGGGGTGTGGCTCAAATGGTAGAGTGATTGAATCATGAGGTTCTGAGTTCAATCCCCAGTGCCCACCCCTCAAACACACACACAGAAACCCCAATGCCTTGCTTAGTAGGTGGAACCCAGTATGTACTTAATAAACATAAGTCTACAGACTAAAAGTCCTGACATGCTGATAAGGTGGTACAAAGGAAACAGGACCACATTCCTATGCTGGGATTTCAAAGGGCATCCTCCAGTTATAGGTTGGATGGATATTTGGTGTGGGTCAAAGTGAACAGTCATTCAATACAACCATGAATAGATAGTTCCTATATGTCAGGTAAGGAAGAAAACAAGGTCTTTTGTATACACACACAAAATG